GTGTCCAAGCCCACTTACTTTTCACATTGTTCAATTTTACTTGTCAATGCCCAATATTCTGACTCGGGTAACAAGCACTGATTAAAATATTTATTTTTGTGCACCTTGGTATGTTGCATTTCACTTTAAAAATAAACATTCTCCAAAAACAGGCCATCACACACTCGCCTGTTTCTTTTATTATTTTCATCCCTGTGCTTAAATGACCTCGAAACACAACAGAAATCTTCGAATGTTTATAAAACTTGTAGGTGGAAATAAGTAAAGAACTGAACAGCAGTGCTTGCAAAGTTGGCTGGGCTCAAGATGAATGACCCAGGCAAACAACATGCACAACAATAAGGTACAGTATTACATTTTTTAAAATTTAAGTTACACTTCATTCTAGATTTGAAGTTTTCGTGACTACAAGGATCCATAATCTTTGGTTCGTTAATTTACTTTTATTTATTTATATTTAATTTATATTTGTATCTCTTATTTTTATTTTATTTTTTACCTACGTGACTTCACAGTTAAGTTACACATCTCACAGAACAGTGGACAAAATCTGCAAAACAAACGGTGCCTTGGCACTCCAAAATCGGATGCACATCTCTGTGCGGCGAGCAAGTGGGAGGCAGGGCACTTAACAAAGGGCTTTGCAGTACTGTACAACACTTAACAAAGCCACACAGACACCTCCCCGGAGTCTGGCACCTCTCTTTGGATCGTCCGTCCTCGGAATGCAAGACCAAATGGCAGTGTGGCACTTGATGTTTCATTTCCGGCTTCAAAGCGAACCTAGGCCAGTTAATGACGGGCGCCAACTGTTGCATAAAACGGTTTACACAAGGAGCCAACTATTCGCGTGTTGCTTGGAAGAGTGGTAGGAAGGGAATTAGCCCGGACCCTTAAAAACAGCCTTCACGCCGGCCTTTGCAGAGACTGAATAATTCACGAACGGGTACAGAGATTGCTGCTGTATTCCATATCCCCCGTGGCCTCTGCGCGAATTTAAAAAAAGATTTAATGAACCCTGGGGTTCAGTTGAGGGCCAACGATTTGCCCCGCCATCCACGATTGCATTGGACTCGAATGACCAGCAGGTGTCGTATTCAGTTCAACGCGTCGGCTTTCGCAACCAATATCGTCCGTATCCATTGGGTCTTTCGGTAAAGTCACGTAGATAGGTAGATATTAATGCAAATAATGAATATAAAATAAACAAACAAAAAACTACGACGTTTCGATCACAAACGATAGTCATCGCTTGTGATCGAAATGTGTACCTATCTACGTTGACTTTACCGAAAGACTCAAAGAATATAAATTCCTGCAGTCACGAAAGCTTTAAGTCAATATCATCCATAAAATACAGGGTTTTTTGTATTTGGGGGGGGGGGGGGGGGGTTGGTTAGATCGCGCAATACGTAAATACGCGATGTAACATTTTAAAATAAATATATTTCTTATGGAGGTCGCGTATCACTCACGAGACAGACCTTGCCCACTTATTTTCATTCCATGTTTGTAAACTGTACTCGGCATCTGAAGTTCGCACGGAGCAGTGGCACAGCACCCACTGCTCCAGTGTAAACACTCTGCTCACGTCCGCTACCTCCAGGGGGCATTGCCCCCTGAACACGCGTTGGCACACCATGCACCGGTTGTAGGCGAAGTCACTTTCGCTTTGAACATGTTTTGCACATGTTCCTATCGTGGAGGGTTTCCAACGCGCCGGATCTCGCGAGTCACCCGCCTTGTTCCGCGTTTACTCCCCACTCAAATACGAGTCCGTCCACGCTGCACGCGCCCGATGATTGTTAAACTGCTTAAACACGTCCCACGTGACGCAAATGACGCTGTCTGCGTTCATTGAGCCTATTTACAATTAAAATTGAGATGTTTGTGTGCGTGTGAACCCGTTCCACGTGTCTGTGCGCGATAATTGCTTGGAGCGTCACGTGTTTAACAATCATCGGGCGCGTGAAGCGTGGACCGACTTGTACTTGAATGGGGAGTAAACGCGGAAAGACGACGTAGCGTGGCGAGTCGCGAGAACTTGCGTTTGGGAAACCCCCTGCTCGAAAGTCTGGACATCTGATGAACGAGAAGATCCAAGGAGTGGTCTTCCATGCACTTTGGCAAGTTGTCAGCACATAACGCGAAATGCCCCTGGTCTCTCCGAATGTGGAGGCGAAACCCGATGCGCAATGAATGGGCAGTCACGACCTCAAGTCGCTGGTATTGCCCACACACCCTTTAGACGAAGAAATTAAGCACGGCTGAGCCTGGATAGTACTTGCGTCAAGAAGCTTCGTGTGTGCGGGAGGTTCACATCCCTCCTTACGAGGACTGAGCCACCAAATCGTCTTCGTCCCAGACACGCGCCCCGACTTTTGGCCCTCGCTCCCCCTTTGATCCTCTCTCTCTCTCCTCGCCCTCAATTAGACAATGCTCTCCACTCCGGATGCCTAGACATCCGGCCACCTGCTCATAATTATGAACCACCTGTTCTATTTCTCATCCGGCCACCTGTGTTATTAATTATTACAACACGTTGCATGTTAACGTTTCTCTATTCAGTCCCCATACACTTTCGATGGTGGGGCACTGCTGCTTAGGAATAATTACTGTACCAGCTGTTGTAGACTTCGGCTGCGGGGTGGCCAGGAGATGGCATTGACAGCAACGGGGACTTAAATCCATCCGTGCGGAACTTTTGAGTGTGCTTATCCCTCGTGTGCATGGTGGATTATTCCTCTTTCTCTCCCAAAAGAAGCTTCCAAACTCATGAATGAACTTGGCCAAACGTCTCAATGTCCCAAGACCCGAAAGGCAAATCTTGGGACGTAATTGTTATCATCACTACTCCTGTACCACCGATGCATCCAATCACATTCGTAATAAGCTCAGCTTTTTGTCCCTCGTCCACGTGGCACGCGCACAAAGAACAACGCAAACACAGAGTGAGCGTCACCTCGTCTCACCTGGCAGAGGAGGTTCTTGATGAAGGAGGCGCACAGGCGGTATCCGCCTCCATCCATGTGCCCCATGACCTCCCAGAACCTGCGGTAGATCTGCAAGTCCCTCTCCGCATCGCAGCAGCCGAAGCTGCTGTACTCTGTGCACAGATGCAGCGGGGATGACGGCTGGAAGGGCGGGCGATAGTCGAGACACTGAGGGTGTCCGGTGACCCTCGAGCGGAGGCGAACGAGGGCGACGGCAACGAGGAGGAGAGGCCAGCGGAGCAGACGACGATTATTCGGAGCAAGGCTCATGATATCTGTCTGCTCGGAGCTAACACCGCCGCCGCCGCCGCCTTACCTCGCGAGGTCCTTAGACTCCCCACGCAGATGTCTGCTCGTGCAGGATGGAGCAGGCAGGCAAGGCGGCGTGGTGTGAGAGAGAGAGACGTGGGTTTGAGGAGGTTGCGTGACTCTCCGTGGATCGAGGCAGGGCGGGCTACCGCCTCCCACGTCACCTCCCCGGGGAAACACGGCTCCTCCACCTCCTCCTCCTCCACCACCACCACAGCGCGCTCCTCCTGCCCGTGTGAAATTCCATCCTCCACCCTCCTCCACCACCGCGACACACTCGTCTGCTATTGGACCATCACTATCATCAATACAATTATCCCCAATTATCACCACTGTCATCTACACCATCATCATCATCACCGCAATAATAACAATAAATAAAAATGCCTTCGCCATCATTGTCACGAATTATTATCATCATCATGATGATTACCAGCGGCTTGGTGCGTGGCCGCATTCCTGCGTTGTCTCGTGGCAGCCGGGATAGCTTCACGCACGAGCGGATCCGACCGGACGTCCCATCCCAGCACCCACACAGCGTTGCCAGCCGTCGGTGCCCGATTACACGCCAACAGTTTCAGTTTATTTATTTTTGGTATAGCCCTGTGAGCCATTCGGCTCTTGAATCGGGTGCAACCGCAACACACACAAAAAAAGCAAAAACACGAACAAGAAAAACGGAGCGAGGAGGGAAGGCGAGCCATGAAGCATTCGGGCTCGAGTGTTCTTCAACATGCCATTGCAATTGTGTTGTTTGCGTATGGCAAAGCAATAATTGTATGGTCAGGAGCCAAATGCCAATGTCGGCATCTGCTAGCCACGAGGGCTTCACGAGTGCGTGGAGTTTCGCTTCTTCCTCCTCCATTGCAGCGGAGCAGCCTACAGTGGTTTACTCAATGGTCCATCGTTTGGGTTACATGGCCACAGTCGCACTGCGGCCTGTCTTTAATTTCAGATTAAAGAAATGTGCGCGTCGGCCTATTGATGTTCTAATGCGGTTGATGGTTAACCCTTTGTGAAATGTCCAAGCCAGACAGTGCTTGGTTTAAATCTCGAATGAGGCGTTTATCCGAGGCAACCACGTTATTTCAGTCCGTTTGCCAGCGTCCATCTGGATCTAGGTGAGATTCTAAGATGGTGACAGCATAAACCCAGAAGGGGGGATCAGGACTTGAGCCGGCAGCGAGGTACATGGATGAGGGGCCTTGTCATAATATCCAAGTAGATATTTTTGTTTATCCAATGCTGGGTTAACGCCTTTCTACGCTTTGTACAGTAATGCATTTTTTTTGTCCAATAAAGCATTACGAAGTCTAGATACTGTTTCAGTAAAGGTCCTTCATAGGGATGTTTTGAAAAGTCCATCAAATCAGGAAGTGTTTGGCACGTGGGAGGTAACCGGAGTCTCCACCACACACACGAAACTCCTTCAAAGGTCTGCACAAATGTTCACAAACCCAGTCTGTACTGCCATCTCCAAGATACCTCTCAGCGCAGCTTATCTGGAAGTTTAACAAATCTGGGTGATCCGCCAATCCTTGCATCCCCACCAAAGCACTGAATCATAGGCGACACCACGCCGGTTAGAGGACATTCAAGGTACCTGGAGAAATGGAGTATGACCTAAACTCCAGAACTTAGGAAATATCCTATTATCAACATTCATGTGGCACACTAAAAATGTACACGAACACGTGGTAGTGTAGCAAAGATTTATTCTGCAATGCCTTGATGTACATACATGACTAATTTGAACAAAATGCTTGCAAATCTATTGAAAAATATTCAGCGCTGGAAATGGGAAATTACTGTTCAAATGATTCTCACCACCCCCACTAGATCTGAGGAGGCGGAGCTTCACTCTGCACATGGGTCTCTATGCATGTCTGTGGGTCTGTGCATATGTGTGGGTGTTTGTGGATCTCTCTGTTAGACTAGGAGTCTATATGCGAGTCAAATTATGAAAAAAGATGAATCCTTGATTCCTTCCGGAACAGTCGTGTTAAAACTCACTCCCACCATGGCGTTCCAGAGCATTCTGGCACATTTCCACGACTGACAATATTACAATTTAAGTTGAAGGTACAATTAATTGCAAACCACGAACGACAGCTTAACATTGATTTTTTACATTGAATATTTACTCAACACTAAAAACTGGCGACAATGAAATGTAAGATGTACTTGTCAAGAGAAAAAAACGCCACTTTTTTCAAATTTTCTTGCTGTGGTTTTCACACCTGATGATGATTGCTTGTGTTGCAGTCGAAACGTCGTGATAATTTTATTGTTTCATATTTTTATTATTTTATTGTTTCCCTTCTTTGTAACTTTACCGAAAGAACCAAGAATATTGTCCAGAGATGTCAAACAAAACTTGGAAATTACATATCCCATGAAAGGTTCTAGAATGCTACTCATGCACACCGAGGTCCGTTTATTCTCAAGTTCTGTTAAAAGTTACTTGTACGGAAATAATAGATAACCCAGATACTGGGATATTGAGATGTCTATATAAATCTCTGTATAAACATGAGTCCTTAGAATACTGTCATCACCATTCACTTGGCAAATATTGATTTACAACAGTGGAAAATGTCGAACAAGCTACATTGGCAAGTGGTATACTTGTAAACGAACACAAAAACACACATTAGGTTTTATGCTTCTTGCGGGGTGGAATTTTCTTTTTTAGAGCCCGCACACGGACGCCGTATTTATTTTCTGTAGATGGACAGAAAGGAATGGATAAATAGTTTGCAAATTCTCAATTTCATTTTCCATGCATTTTTTTTGGTTTATTTCCCCAAAGCGCACACGCAGGTAATGAGTCACACAGTGTGGCCTTCCCACTTACTTGTTCCCGCAGACGCATTCACCACATGTGTACCCCCCAGTAACAAACCACACATGTTTAGCCAGTGAGTCAAATTAAAAGACCACAGAAAAGAGAACCCATTGAAGAGCCACGGGCAATGAAGGTCATACATGTATCAATTCAGCATCATGCAAAAGTGCGGAGGGGATGTCTTACTGTATTTTAGAAAATAATTGCACGTGCAGATGCAAAAAAAAACGTTTCCCATTTTAGCACACTCGTGTACTCGCAAATCTAACAAGAGTTGGAATGTCCACATCGGAGTCCGTGTGCAATGCTTGGCACAGGTACAAACACCTCGACCGTATAAACAAAGACAATTTGTGTTTTTTTTTATCCTGGAAGCAAAAAATTACGGCCTCCGTGAATGTATGCATACACCACTGTATGATGCTATGTATGCAAGTGTGGCACGCAGTCATATATCATGTATAGTATAGATATCCATATGCATGACACTTGTGTATATATGTTGAATTTCTTTCGCACCGTACGTAGCCAACCGTGCTAAACTTGTGCATTCATGTATACATTAAAAACTAAGCAAATACGTTTCACAATAATCAACACTAGATTCTGTGATAAAAAATGTGTTTTTTTCTTAATTTCACGTTGAAAGAAATGGCGATTGATTAAATGTTGTCAAATTACATTTACAACACCAATGTAAAAAATGTTGCTCATACACGTGACTAACTGCATGACACACACTATGTGTGTTCATGTGTTTGTGTGTACTTACTCTTCCCCATCAGCCCTTTGGCTATAGTGGCCTTGTTGGATGCAAGGAGAGGATTGTAGTGGAAGTCATCCTTGGCCTGGTCCTCACAGAAGCAGAACCTTGGCCACCAGTCCATCCGAACCTCCCAGGGCTCTAAAAAGCAGGCCTCATTCCCACTGTGTTAGTCACACGAGACCATGTGCATTACACAGTGGCAGCATGTGCCAGACTATGTCCTTCACACTTTACATGTAGCAGTCTGTTCATATGTGTTGATGTATTTTTATTGATCACCCCAAGATGTAAACATGCCACAGAAATGCAGTTTATTAGGTTTTTGGATGACCGAAAATACATTAGCCAAGTGTCAATGAATACAAATAAGTCTGAAGGTAAGCAAGCAGATTTTGGGAGTGGAGCGGCATCATTTAGTTTTATGCATTGCACTATGAACCCGGCAACCTGAGTTTGATTCCAAGATATGGATAACATCAGTGGGAATTTATAGTTTTGTATGTAGCCAATTTCACCAAACTGCACTGATCCACATTAAGTTTCTTCAAACTCCCATGGCAAAATGATATGGGGACGCCTTCATCCAGCAGTGGATTTACAACCGCTGTAATGATTAAGCGTAGTTTCCTTTCTTTTATAACAAAAAAAGTCCACCAAATGTTTCGCAATTGGGGGGCGATGGTTGCTATGTAGATTCGAATTGTAATTTTTTCTTCAAATTTAGCAAATGATGCCAGCACACAACGTCCTAACCCTTGCTAATGACGTCCACCGTAAATCAGGTGCATATTTTTTTACAGTTAATACAGTCGCAACATTCGTCAGGGCGGTCACTATTCGAATAGCGAGCCCCCCTGCAAATGTGCAACTGCAAGCAATTTTGTATCGTGGCGTGCATGTGTAAAGGATTTACGGAACGTACTGTGTCTACATATAACAGCGTACTGTACTTTTTAATGCAAGCGCTGATGAGCTCTGCAAGACTCTGCCAAGGTCGCACATCCCTCTGCCAGGGAGAGTAATCCAGGACGCTCATCAGCACAGAAATTCTCTCCTGCATCGTGTCCGTCCCTACAGTAAAACATAGAATGTGCGTTACGAAGCGTTTCAGAAACACGCCCCGCGTAGTATTTGACGTGCGATGCATTGTGCTCGCTGCAGCTCAACGGGCTGCAGAAACTCACCACTTTCATGCAACAATCGGCTATATTCCAGCATCAGCTCATGAGATGGCACCAATTTATGCAGGACCTGTTGAAATTACACAAGCAACAGACAACAAACGACATTTATGACACCATGCGTTTCGCCTGAACACTTTTTTTTTATCAAGTATAACCGGTGACAGTGAACACCGATTTAACGACTCCATCGTTAGGCATCGATTTGAGATATAATCCTACGTTCATGGTACTACATTACGATTGAATCGCGTGATAATTATAGCAACACATAAAACTGATGCTTGAATTAAACTGTGGAACGTCATGAAATCCCTTGTGGGGGGGGGGGAGCGGCCGGCAGTGGCGAATTTTTACCTGGCCTATCATTGCGTCTTGAAAGAGGGATGAATCACCCACATTCACCTTAGCGTTACAGTAAATAGAAAATTACGCAACATACTATACCGGCAAATAGTTCACAGTCATTTCAAAAAAACACACACATTTAAAATGTCTGGTTTTTTAATTTGGTTTGCAATAACCGTGGCTTAAGGAGGCACCCTGAGCACAGCGAGCAGCTTCGGTTGGGGAGCGTCGTGTTTCTTGAGGAAGTTGTAGAGGTGCACGTGTGCATTGGGGTTGGGCGGGTACTTGTTGTCATACGCAATGTTCTCCAGAAGTTCGTGGGCTTCGTCAACGTTTCCGTAAAACTCCAACAGCTTTGGAAAGGGTGGTAAGTAAAAAAGGAAGACGTGGCAGAGGCCATTTAATACAATAACGAAGTATATTGTGGATACGTTGCTTATTTATGTCACGTGGAACCAAAGCGGAACTGTTCATATGTACCTCCACATATTTCGGGGTGAATATGTCCCACACCCCGGGTTTCTGCAGGATACTGATGAAGTTTAAGGAGGATTTCCGGAAGCTATGGTGCATCTCCTTTAGGGCAGCCGAGTTGGTCTGCGTATCGCCCACGTCTGAATCACGACATGACAGGTAATCAAAACAAAAAGACATGTTTCCTTTGTGCAAAAAAAACTGTAACATGGCAAAACAAACCTCAACAGAGAGCAATAAGCTAGACTAATGCAAATAAATTTTTATTTAAAGCTTTCGTGACTGCAGGGATTCATATTCTTGGTTCTTTCGGTAAAGTCACCACGTAGAAGGGAAACAATAAAATAATACAAATAATAAACAATAAAATTCTCACGACGTTTCGACTGCAACGAAACGTCGTGAGAATGGTTTTGTTTTATATATATTTTTATTTTATTGTTTCCCTTCTACGTGACTTTACCGAAAGAACCAAGAATATAATGCAAAGAAATTAAGAACTCCAAAACCTAATCAAATGAAGCATGAAAATATACACACCAAATCAAAGACCAAGATCCTCCCCCCCCCCCTCCCGTACAGCCTTAACAGACTGCTGGGGCAAGTGCTATGAGCATGCACACCAAATGACACTGTACCATTTCCACTGGAAAGACGGTCCTTTTGCTGCTGCCAGTCATAGTAGTGGAGTAGGCCACAATAGCCTTGGATGAGGTCTACGAGCAGGACGCAGCTTGGAGAGGCAAGGTCCTTGTGCCTTGCAGTGAAGGCAAGAAGCTCACGGTGAGCTTCCTGCTCCCGCCCCTGACACAGCAGGTTCCAGGTATGCTCTAGACACACCTGGTGGTAAAGGGACCAAACAGCAGATCAGCTGAATGCAGACACACGCAGGATGGCACGTCCCACTGTGCATAACATTTTTAGTAAAAGCCACATGCGTGATGTATGAACTTCTTTCGCACCGTACGTAGCAAACCGTGCTAATCGGAGGTGATGAGAATAATGATCACTAAAAGTCCCCGGCCGATCAATATGGCAAGCCGAACTTGTTTCAATATGAAGAAAACGTTGACGCACACTGCCAAGACAGGTTGCATCTGAAAAATAAGCTAATTGCTCAATGGGCATTACCTGGTAAGATAAAATTTATAGTTTGGTTTTATTGTTTTTACGTGATTTGTTTACCTTTTCTATACTGTACCCTCCTATCGTGTTTTTGTATCATTTGTCGTTGTAACGTTCTGACCCGCCCTTACTGAACGTCTGTGAAAAAGAGCTTTATAGCTCATCAGATTCCTCCAGTTGAAATATTCCGATTTTGTTTTAATTCGTCGAGAGCGACGTGTGCTGATCGCACCAAATGCAAAGCGATGCGTGAGAGACTTGATGTACAGCCACAGACGGGTTTGATGTCTCCACATAACACAGCTGTGCTGCTGGCACAAGAACCCTTCTCACACAACCTCGCTCCGTGGGCAAACTCGCACTCGCCTGGGCACCAAAGTGATACTTTTTTTTCAAGCTTACTAGCATCCTGCATGTCCTTCGGACGTGACCGTCCAGCCAGCCAGCCATCCAGCCCAGCCCAGCAAGCCAGCCTGACAGCCAGCTAGCCAGCCAGACTGTTTTCTAATACAGAATTTTAAGTGTTTATTGTAAACACAGCATGATTCATACTGGCATCTATTCTGCTTTCCGTTGAACTTCGGTAAAGAACCTATTGCATGTAAATAGTGTTTGCGTCGAGTGTCACGTTTCTTTTAAATTTGAATTCAGCAATATTGCGAGGTCCTGTTAAACTACCTTCAATTTTAGGTCTCTCGAAAATGACTTCATCCTGTTTGCAAAGAGGCTGAACTGCTCCATACTTCTCTGTGGATGGTTCATCATCACTTCAGCTCCAGCCTTCCAATAAATCTAAAAGAAAACACAACATTTACTAACTTAAAGAGGTCATACAGCCAAAATGTAATTTTCTGATAAATGAAATAATTACGGTGTTTAAAATGGTAATGTTAATCTGTAATATCACATGAACATCAGATGTCCTAAAACTCCACACTCCACATGGACAAATAAAAATATTACAGCATTACGTCCAAATTCACAAGATGACAAGCAGATATGTACAGTGCTAAAAAAAAAGGCTGAAAATCTGAACCCCCCACTGAAAATGTTTAAGGCTCAGCGAGGCCTGGCTGTTTATCGTGGCACTCCCTTTAACAACAGACTCGCAGGACCCGCTGGATATTAGCTTTTCACGCGTCCCTCACCTCGGGTAGCAGGGCATTTTTCCCCCATGTCTCCAGGCTTCCCAGCGCAGGCAGAAGGAGATGAGCAGCACGGACCCAGTGGTGCCGCAGCAAGGCCTCGTGCAATTCAATCAGCCATGTGCTCCTCCCAAAAACCCCCGCTGGCTTTGTTAGCATATGCCCTGTAAGAAATGAGCACACCCCATCGTCCGCCAAGTGCGCTCACCAGATCCCCTTATTAGTCTGGAGAAACGTGCAACCATGAGAGATGGTGCCGTCCTGGGGAGGCTTTCAGCCAGCCGTGGATATATCTTGACCGACGATGATTAGACTGCTGGGATGTGTGATGTTGGAGAGCACAGGTAAGGTGATGTGTAGTGATAGCACTAAATGGCAAACTTTGCAAATCAGCTGCTGCATCTCATAACAATGGTGCCATTTATTTAACTAGGATAAACCTCACCAAGTCCAAGAGAACCATATTGAGTACGTGGAAGAATCATGAACGCCCCTCCCATACTCAATGTGTGAATTCATTCGGCCTAATCTCAGCAGTGGGGCATCTGAGCGACAAGCAGAGACAAGTAAGAATAATACACACGAACATGGGGTCCATTCCTCAATCGTAGACCAGTCTCAAATACCTGAACCCAGAATGAGCCACAAGTGAACCACGTGGTTAGGCCTGAAGCAGCGTTTGGCATTTGCAGGCCTGGTGCTAATAATGCGATACGGTGGCTGGATGTTAACTACCTCCCCTGGTGTACAGGAGGTCGTGGGTTCGATCCCAACCCTGACGCCTGTATATTTGGAGTTTGTATGTTCTCCCCGTGGTCCGCGTAGATTTTTCTCCAGGTCCTGCGCTTTTCCCCACATTTAGAAACATGCGTTTAAAGTATATATTTGGCCGGAATAAATGTCCACGTGCTAAGCCACTTCGTTGAGCTATATCATTTGTGGCCAGGTCGCTTTTGGGGGCAAAAAAATAGCTATTGTGGTGCTTCACCTGGCGAAATGAAACGAAATAGTTAAATGGTTTAGTTTAGTACAAATCCACGCCATCCCTCCCCAACGAAATGCGGCTGAAGGGGACCTGAAGCTGCGCTCGTGTTGTAAGCCCGGTTTGGCAACGTACAGAAGTGATGGCAGACGAGGACCTCTTGGCGAGCCCTCTTCAAGCCAGGCGAGCCTAAGAGCGGCTCCTCAGTCTCCTCCTCAGTCTCCTCATCCTCCTCGCTTGCCGTCTTCCCAACGTCATCTGTGCTGCTCGTCACCTGTCGCCGATCCTTCATGGCCGAAACTGCAGTGCCACGCACGGGTCAGCGGGGATAGAGAACGGAGGAGGCTGCAGCGAATTTTTGGGTTGAAAAAGACAAAGCGTTTGCCCAGGGAGTTGATCCTATTCTGGTCTGGACCAGGACACACGTCCACAACCCACACCACGCCGAGACCCATAGCGCGCACACGTTCAGGCCATGCAAACAAACACGTGCACTCAACATTTATCAGCCTCGCCGAGTGGCCTTGTGAGCGAGATCGAGCGGTGCGGCGTGTGCTATGTCGAACTTCTTTCGCGTCGTGCGTGGCCTATCCTGCTAATCGGAGGTGCGAGCGAGGGGCTAAGGCCAACAAACTAAACACACAAAAAAGCAGTTTCAGAAGAAGAAAAAAATGGCTTTCAATCGAGGTTTTGAACGCGCATCAGCTCCGTAACATCCGAATTTGAAGGAGCGTTCCAGACGGCCGCCGCGCGCGACCGCTAAGTCGCACCGTAGCCGTAGCCGACTGTCGAGGTGGCGGCGGCTTGCGGGGCTCTTAAGGCTGCCGACGAGTCGGACCGCAGAGGAGTTCGACTGTTGTAGACTGAGGAAGCTAATCTGGAACGAGCCTGGCCAGACTCCCGGGGCTTAGCGGAGCGCGAGTGGGAGCAGCTTTTGTAGCTCCGCGCACGCAAAGCCGGGAGCCACTTCCGCGTGCGCGGGCTGCCACGTGTTGGATCGATTCCGAGAATGTATGGGTCGGTAACTGCGGAATCGATTCCCATTGGATGTTGCATAGAGGAATGAATGGGCAGTGGTGTGGGCCGGGGATCGGTTCAACCCCAGTGTCGGATTGTTATCCGAGTAGCACAAAGTAGCAACGCAATGCTACGGGTTCCCGCACTTTCAAGGGCCCCCGCGCTAAATGCGTTCAAGCTATCAATTCCGGTTCAGTGTTTTCTTGTTCATGTTTTTGTTTGTTGCGCTTGCACCCGATTCAAGAGCCGAATGGCTCACAGGGCTATACCAAATAAATGAACTAAATGAAATGAACAGTGATTCTGCACTTGCTCTATTACTATTGTGCTATATTCTTGGTTCTTTCGGTAACGTCATGTAGGTAGAAAATAAAATAATAGAATTTAAAAAATAAAATTATTAATTGAAAATAATAACAGCAAAAAGTACTATAGTACGATACCGCCTTCAAATTTTATGAACGACTGGGTGTTTAAGGTTAGAGATTTGTCGTATCATCTGGTTGTAACGCAAATGAAGAAAAAAACAATTACTTTACTATGCAAGGTAAAAATGTTTTTTTTAATTTACATGTTTTGTTATTTAGGGCCCCTTTATAACATATGCGACAGGCACCGCACTAGCTTCATCCGGCACTGGTTAATCATGAGCGAATTAATCAACTGAGCGGAATGAACGACTTAGTCGACGCGTGAACTTATCAATGCGTGAATGAATGAGTGAATTGGTGCGTGAAATAGTAAGGAAATGAGTTAATTGAATGGTGACTGAGGACATGAAGAGCGAGTTTGCAAATTAATTCGTAAATGGGTGAATTAGTAAACAATTTAAATGGTGAATCAATTGGTGCTGCTGTCCGTCGATTGCCCCGACGAAACACAGTTCTGCCGAACAATATCTCCCAGAAGAAGGCCAGGCGTGGCTGATGGGACGTGTAAAATAACACGTTTACATGTGGATGGACAGACATGTGAGGGAGGCGTATCGTTCCTTACATTTATTCTGTTCCGTATATTCGCCAAAACGATGCATTGCTCATCCCCTTCCTAATCCCTCCCCTCGCCCCTCCACTTCGTCCCGTCCCTCCCCTGTAGCCCTAACGTGACCCCCGCACGACCTGTGTTAAGGTGACTAATTCCTCGACCCTTTCACGCCCTGCCATCTAAATCACTCCATTTTGTGTTACCACTTTTAAAACGATGTAAAGCGGCTTGAGACAAGGTGCTCTACAAATATTGTCAGAAGCTTTATTTAGGCTGGAGGAACCCGATGAGCTATGAAGCTCTTTCACAGATCCCCAGTGTTATGGGCTTTGCGAAATCATCATGAACCCCAATTTATTTGGTGATGCTGCTGGTGCATTGGCAGTGGTGCACAAGCAAAACTAAAAATAACATTCTACACACTCGTCAACAACACCGCCTTAAATTATATACAATCGGCAACGCTTAGGGCAATGGCCATTTTTTCAAAGCGTGTGAACTCCAGTGGCTCAATTTCAGCCGGAACAGTCCAGAACCCCATTCCTGAAATTATTTACGCACCAGACACATCCATCTCGCCTTAATTTGTTTACATGATATCTTTATGGATACTTTTACAAACCTGTTAATATGATTCATGGGAATATAGGGCACAGTAATATATGATGATTATTATCATCAGTCGTGCCTTACGGCGTCAATGCCTACTCCCAATCCTGATTTATCCCATTGCGCATGCTATGTCCACTCCACCGTGCAGGCTGGGTATCGCATTGCATGCGAGTGTCTAGGCACACATCGCAGGTTTCACATTCAGCACTACCAGGATTGACCACGCTCAGGAGCCAGATCGGCCTGGCTGCGTCCATCGTGCGGTCTTTACCCTACATCTGGCCTCAACGTCGTCTCAGCACATCTACCAAAATCCGAATATACGAGACTTGAGCGATGCCAGTCCTGCTGTAATGTGCTGAGAAGTGGGCCCTCCTGCAATCAGACTCAAACAGTCTGCACGCCTTCCTTCCGTATGTGGTGTAAGCATCAGCTCCTTCGCATCGAATGGTTCGACTGTGTCCCCAATGCCAAAGTCTTGTCGAGGACTGGTCTTCTAACTATCGCAACATCGTCCACTCGAGACGTGTCTCATCTGTTTGGCCACATTGCAAGAATGGAGGATGACTCCTCCCGCACGCCATGCCTTGCTTCTATCCATCCAGGCGATGAGTGGATCTCAACCGTCTCCGGCATGTTAGTTGGCCATTCCAGGGTCTATCATGACACCGGCCTAACATTGCAGGTGCTCTTCTACAACACGGTGAAACATAGACACTCTGGTTGGCACAGTGGGCCTTTGCCACCTATGTGATTCTGATGGTGGCGGGCACTAACGGGCATGTGTCAGACCTCCCGTGATAGTACAGGGATGAGCCCTGTGATGGTACAGGGATGAGTCACATGATGACACAGGATCTCATATTGGCACAGCTATGGGTCCTGTTGGCACAGGAATAAGTCTAGTGATAGCACACGGATGGGTTCTGTGAAGGTACAATACAGGGATTGTTTTATGATGGCACATCATAAGAATAGGTTTTATCCTTTCTGGCAATAAAACAGTTGTGTTAAGATATTAAACACGAAACTGAAACCTTTTGCAAGGAATCATGTCTGCATTAACCACATATACTTGTGGTGAAGATGCAAACAAAGAAAGATGATCTGGTGGTATTTGCATTGTCTTTGAAACCGATTGGTCCACACCATTGGTGAATGCAGATGTGATTCCTTGCAAAAAGTTTCAGTTTGGTGTTTTAACATCTTAACACCTTAATAGAGGTTTCTTTTTAGGGGGGGGGGGGGGGAGATCGCGTAAATATATCAATGTGTCGTTAAAACCCGCCACCATCCGACACAGCCAACTAATAAGGGTTGTTACGTAAACAGAACATGCCAATTCGTCACTAGTACAGCACACCAGTGTGTTGGAGAGCCAAACCACAACATTTACAAACTAAGTACGACATTTCGCCAGTAATTACAACTAGCTTCATCAGGCGACAGGCAGATTTGTGGATAAGTCTGACTGTGTCGTTCCTTATATGGAGGTGTAGATGTGTTGACCACCCTTCTGCGTAATTGCATAATGTGGGGGGGGGGAGGGGTGGATTACTGAGGCAACTTACATTACGCATTATGCGAGCCCTTTGAACTTGTCCTTCCTGTCTATTGTGTTTGTTAAAATAGCCCTACGAACGGTAATCCCTATTGAAGTACGCTGCCCTTTGTAGGCATGCATTTATATAATATATTATTTGATTATTCACTTCCGGCCACGCCTCTCCTGCGCCACGCATAATGGTGGCCTCCGGCCACGTGCTTTTCGCGCCACGTGTAATGGTGGCCTCCGGCCGCGTGTTCTTCGCGCCACGTGTAATGGTGGCCTCCGGCCACGTGCTTTTCGTGCCACGTGTAATGGTGGCCTCCGGCCGCGTGTTCTTCGCGCCACGTGTAATGGTGGCCTCTGGCCGCGTGTTCTTCGTGCCACATGTAATGGTGGCCTCCGGCCGCGTGTTCTTCGCGCCACGTGTAATGGTGGCCTCCGGCCGCGTGTTCTTCGCGCCACGTGTAATGGTGGCCTCCGGCCGCGTGTTCTTCGCGCCACGTGTAATGGCGGCCGTCGCGCTTGCGGACGTTCCCACCAGAACAGACTCCAAATGTAACGAGCGACTTCCGAGACATGTCATGTAGAGGGATTCTTCTTACTTATTCTTACACTGGGCACAACTCAGGCCGATACACACATATATATGTCTCCTCTCACTGGGCACAACACTGGGTTATATATATATATATACATCTCTACTTTAGCTATGCACAGCCGACCTCTCTGCATAATCCCATCGCCTACATCCAACCACACCGCTGACTGACTAGTGTGACGATGACGGCGATGGGAGCCGTGCAGAGGATATTCCATGCGGCCGGACGACGGAAAGAGCAGTGATGCAGCCAGGACCCGGGACCGCGCAACAACCCTGAACCCTCAGTTCCATCCCCCTTATATACCTCTCGGCGTGGCCAGGCCCCGCCTCTGGGCACGCCCCCCTTCTGATTAGTTGTTACATAACCTTGCCCATTCCCGTGATTATTCTTCCAGGCCAACAGGTGGCACCCTGTCATTACACATGTGTAGTGGGTTCTACGGAGGCACACACTTGAACTTGGAGGCAAAACGTTTATTACACGACCCCAACGGGGAAACTACATGAACCACAACAGGTTAACTAGACCACAACGGGGTAATTACATAACTGGGTCAGTCAGTCACATACTACCTGACCAATGATGCTGAGCATAAGGACCGAAGACCGAGGACTGAGGATCGAAGAGACGTAGCACCGACGGGTTCCATTCCAACAGACAGCCTCGATCGGCTCTCGGGACCTCCCTTTTATGCCCCTGAGCGTGGCCCAGCTCCGCCCTCGGCCACGCCCCGTCTAGATCCTGCTAGAAAGTTCTGGGCTATACATCACGTGTCCCTCTCGCCACCTTTTGGCCCCCCTCATTATCCTGTCCTGGTCACGTGCCCTCTCGGGTTCACCTAGACTGTCACGTCCTCAACTGCCCTCTCTCTGACTGTCACCAGAACCATGCCCGCTAGGGCCCCCTTCCATGCCATACATCATCTGGTGGCAGAGAGAGGCTCCAACACGCACAGTTGCACCCTTCTCTCACTAGCTGGCGTTAAACGCCGTAGTGACCCAATATACGTCACTAAACATGTGTAGAGGAGTGAAATACGCGGGGCGCACAGTTAACCGGGGCAACTGAGGACAAACAGGTGCGCGTGTGCAACATGAGGGTTGCACGGACAAACCGCCAAGTTGTTAAGGGGCGAAGTAGGTTGAAACTGGGTTGACAAGTTGTGCATGTTGAGACCGGAGGTGTTGCCAGGGAGACGGGAGATAAGGGTTGATTGATGGGCCAACAGGCGCCAGCCTGGTTCGATGCACGAGAGGTCTCGGATAATTAGCAGAGGGAAATAAGGGTGTGTGTGC